TATATGATTTACTCATGAAAGTGGCCACTTTCATGAGTAAATCATATATGTTTTTACTATTTCTTTTCCATATGGGTTTATAGTTAGCTTGTGCATATTTCTAATTGCATTTATTAAAAAATTACAACTGTCTTTGTTGATTGTTTCACTCATTTATTGTTTAGTGCAATCCTAGCAGCTGGATCATTTTCTTTTTTTTTTTTCTTTTTTGCATGTAAGCCAACCACAGTCAAACCTCTGGCACAGCCTTGTTCTCTTCCTGGATCTCTGTTGACTTTCAGTGTTAAATCTATTCGTGGGTGGAATTTTTTCTGTTTATCTAAGCAGTTCAGTACAGTTCAGGTTTACTTGGAGAGTTTTACAGTTTTATAGGCAATTTCTCCAAGGCTATGCAGCATGATTTTTGACATTTTTGACTTCAGTGCTTTCGCCATTACACAATTACATCACTTAATGGCTACTGACATTTGTTACTGCGCACTGATGCAGGTTGAAGTTTATTTAACTTCTAATTTGGACAAGTTCCACACACCAACGCAGCTTCACAGATCATAGCACATGGAATAAAATTGGCATTTCACCAGTGGCTTTTTCATATATACTGTCAAGAGTGACTCTACCTCTCTGGATGTTTTCCAGATGGGGACAAAGCACTTTTCAGCACAAAGCAGATCTTATTAGATACACATCTTCTGACCACAGTGTATAAAATTTTTCATGACTCAGTTATTTGCAGTTATTTTGAAAAGAAAATGGGTTTAATGTAACCAACTCAAGGCCAAATAGCTTGAGAATTTTGTGCAGTGAAATGTAATTAATTAATTAAATTAATTTGTTTTATCATGAATATATTTAACAGGTGATAAAGGAATTTAGAGATGATGAGATGGAACATCATGATACAGGACTGGCGCACGATGCTGAAAATGTAAGTGTATTTTATGTCTTTAAATGTAATATGTACACACTGCCAGTCAAAACTTTGGACACATCTGCTCATTCAATGTTTGTTTTTTTCTTTATTTTTATTACTTTCTACATTATAGATATATGCTGAAGACAGCAAATATATGAAGCAAGATATATGGAATTATGTGTCAGAGAAAAAAATGATAAATAACTCTTATATGTCTTATTTTTTAGATTCCTTAAAATAGCCACCTTTGCTTTGTTGACAGCACTGAAAACTAATTTTATATCAATTAGAAAAATGACTCCACACAGGAATAAATAAATATTGCTGCATTAGAGTATTTAACTGTCTTTACAATTTTTAAGTTGTTGAAAGTACTGCTGCCTAAATGTGTGTTTTGTGTGTGTGTTTTAGGTACCTGGATACTGGCTATTAAAAAATGCAATACAGTTAGGCTGCAAAGCTGCAATATATGTTTCCCAACGTATCTAACGCTGTTCTTAAAGCAGTTGAATTGTTTTGTTATTCTGACTCAAGTTTGTAAAAATGACTTAATTTGGACCTGCGTTCTCACTCTGCATCTTTGTAAATGTAAATGAAGCACAACGTACCTGTACCTGATCGTATCTGTTAAAATTTCTGTAATAAATGTCAGGCCTTGGTTCTGTTTTCTGAAGGCAAATTTTTACTTTTGTGTTGTGTTACTTTTGTGCTTGCTGCAGGAAGGTCAGTCTGCCTGTCTGAAAAGTGTCAGTGTTGATGAGAAAGTGAGAAACTGGTGAAATAAAGATACTCATGGACTTTAGATATATCCATTTGTACATGTATCCAGTTACCCCCACATACATAACATATTTTTCATATAATTGTGCCTTAAGTTGCTTTAGTGTTTTTCTTATCGGCAAGAGCTGCAAAGACCAATATTTTAATAACTTTTAGCTGCCTTTGACCAAAAGCTCGACTCCCTAAACACGCATGATAAGAACATATTAATCCAAGTACACACACACACACACACACACACACACACACACACACACACACACACACACACACACACACACACACACACACACACACACACAACCACCACTACCACCACCATACCATTCTGTTTCACATGTAATAGTTCATATATCAAGCTGAGCAATGACTTGTCATCCAGGCCTAACTGCTAAGCAGCCTCACACAGCTGTTCTGGGTACATTAGGTCACTGAGCAAGAAGGCTTGTCCAGGGGCCCCTAATATTCATCAGGTTGTGTAGCTTGAGCCAAATGTTCATTCCCCCCCTGACTCAGTATCATTCTGTCCATATGTCCATTCAGTTGTGACCCAAACCTGATTTCTCCTAGTTTTAGCATTTTTTTGAGCATGAGCATATGATACATGCTGACTCATAGCCAGTAGTGGGGGGTATTAATCATCTTGTTGGTTCAGCAGATAATAATGTTATTTAAAAAACTGAAAATCTGATATTTATTCATTGTATGTGAATTGATAAATATAAAAAAAAATAAAAACCACAGACAGAGTCATAATAAAATGTTCAGTTTGATTGTGCCATCATAAGAGGTTCAGCCTGCACATGTTAGATGAGATATTGAAATATGCAGATTTCACTTTCAGCTGCTTTTTAATGGCGGCTGCCTGACTGCAGGTCAATCTTTACATTTGCTTTATGCTATTGCAGCCCTGTGTGAAGATCCATTTACCTTAGCATAAGGTCAGGTCCTGACTTCAGGGGTTAATATGCAGTTTTATCCTTCATTCCTGAAAAATAGAATTGTTTAATGTCCATCAGTAAAAGATCAAGTTAAATAATGTTAAATAATTTGTAGTCTGCATTATCACTGTTAGATGTTTGTGACTCACTAAATAAGCCATACAGAAACTAAACCACGGTGTATTCATGAATGCGCTACAGCAGTGTTTTTAATGGGGGGAGGAAAAAAGTGTTTGTGTTATATTCCAGTGAAAACTGAAAGGCTAACTTGCTAGGGAGCAAACGAACGCCAGTTTTTCTGACTACTGCTACAGGAACGCTGTCAACTTGGATATGACGTCATTTTCAGCTCCAACGTTCGAGGTAAAAGGAAAGCACCAGTATAACTTTGTGCCTTTTTCTTTGACTCTTGGTAGTCATTTTAGTTTGGTAATCTATGGGTAAGAATCATATTTTGAAACCAGCCTCAAGTGGCTGCTTGAGGAGTTTTCGAGACCTTTTGATGCTCACATTTGAGCCCTGGTTGCATGCGCTTTGTGAACCAAGCTAAGCACTTCATCCTCTCATACGAATACAGTTAAATCTGGCTTAATAAACAAAGAATCACCAAAAAAGCTAACTCGATGCTCCAGGAAAAGAAAGGAACTGGGTTACAGTGGATGAATGCTCGCTACAGCCACTTTATACATAGAGTTTATAATTACAGTTGGTAGTTCAACTGACCCATGAGTGTGGCTGCCATAATCCCCATCTCCCCATTATTTTTCCATTTTATTTGTACCTGCTTGCCTTTATTGACTGCATGTTATTTGATTTTCGTGACCAAGTACTAATTACTGTGAGCAAAGCCTGGAGTATTCTCACGATCTCAGGATAGGATGGAAACGCATGACATTCACTTTCATAATCACAGGAGGTCACCCACTATAGATCAGAAACATGAGACAGTAGGCAGCTTTGCAAATCAAAGGTAGATCATCATACATTATCTTTGAACCCGATTAATAGTGCTGACAATTTTATAGCAAGGTGTAACTGTTTAAATAAAGCAACATATGTAAAGCTCCTTTTGTAGTGTAGACTACATCTAAATTATCTACCATATGTAAACACAAATGGTGTGCTCTATATATATATATATAAATAATGTCTGCACATTCTGGTCAATTCTTCAATCATTTAAAACCATCAGGAGATCATGTGCATTGTTTAGGTTCTTTTCTCAGTATCAAAAGGAATTTGCTGAAACACAGACTCAGAAATTGGCAACAAGAATTTGAAGAGAGCAATAAAACTTTACTAAACTGGGACTGTCTTGCTACCCATGAATAATTGCAGTTGTAAATCTTCAGCAGCACGAAAAATACAAATCCCTATAAGTCATAAGATCTTTCGGATACAGATTTTATTACTTCTTGGCTTTAATAGTTGGTGTTTGCCAGTAATAAGGCCTTTCTGGGGTTTATGGTAACTAATAGCAAAAAAGTACTTCTCTAGAACTGAGAGCACAAGGAATTAAGTAGATAGAATTTTGCTAGTAGTTTGATATGATTTAATGAATGTCTGGCAGCTTTCAACATGTGTTCTTTCTTTTTAATTCAAATACAATCACTTTTTTTTCAAGAGGTGGTATATATATATATATGTGCTATGAAAGACTCTGAAAACTCTGAAGTTGCAGGTTAGTGAGGTTACTATCCTGTTACTAGTTAAATGTGAGATGTTTCACCGTGTTTCATGTGTTTTTTGTTGCCCCTATAACTTTTTATTTAAATGTGTTGCTACATCAAATTCAAAATGCTGCATTAATATCTAAAAATAAAATCAAATTTTTTAGCATTTAATGTCGTGCCTTTGTACTATTTTTACAGAAATATAGGATTTAAATAATTTGCAAGTCATTGCATTCTGTTTATATATTTTAAATTTACATCCATCTGAAGTTTTGGGGGGGTTTTATAAATCAAGAGGAGTCAGTGGAGCTTTTCATCTACATCTGGTTTTCCAGGTCAACGGCCATGCTCTATAAATAGCAAACAGTAAACATTTTACTGTTCTGGGGTATGTCTGCACATACAGTAAATACCTGTGGTGTGATGTTACTATATGCTTTAGATCTCTGTTCTGCATTGAGGGACTAACTTATGTAAATTTTAGTTTGATCTGTAACACATTCATTTTTCCCCACCCTTTTATTGACATGTAAATGAGTGTAGTGTGCTCTGTGCATATGTGTATGTACAAATGCCTCAAAATGCCTAAACATATTGGAAATCTTTTGGGTTACTGAGGGGTGTGTGGCGTGAAAGAGTGACCACGTGTTCACATCTTCACACTGTGAAGTGACAACACAAGATGCAAAGGACTGACATCACTGGAAGCTGGAATTTGTGATTTATGGTCTGCCGTGCAGTGCCAACCACCAACGGCTTTGGTGAGAGAAAAACACATCAAGGTCAGTCTTCTAGGAAGGTTAAACTGAGCAAAACCTAAAAATTTTTAATTCATATTGAAAAACTGTTATCCATATTCAACCACATACATTTCAGAATGATTTTCAATATATAGAACTGCAACATCAAAGAACTTTTAGGTGAAGTTAAGTCTGGAGTATAGATCTATTTGTGTCTGTGAGTGCAACAAATCTTTCGTTCTGTCAAATCCACCGAATCAGACAGTAAGTATGAAAACTCGCTATCAAGCAACGTTTCATGTCAAATGTAAGTTCAACAGAGACCCTTCAACAAAAATGAAATGGATTGTTTTGACATCCCTATAGCATTTCCAGTAATATTGCTAAGTGCATATGATTCATGAATTGGCAGAATATTTTGTGCATATATGCATGACTGTAGAATCAGTATGAACATAATACTATGCTGTTTTTGTGATTTAACTGCTTCGTCATGATCTTTGCAAATAAAACCAAAATCCTCAGCTGGAAAACTGATTTCTGGGGCACATACCTTTAAACCCTTTTTACATGTCTCCTTTTCTCTTTAGCATCCACAGAGAATCCTAAACTATAGTAGATGAATTCTTTTGGAATTTTAATTAGGGATGCACTGAATGATCCCTTTTCATTGTGGTATAAAATATATGATTTCTTTAATAAGAACTGTTTTATTTAACTGATATGTATTTGAATCAATGGAAAATGGACATCAAAATGGACATCTAGGTCCCATCAGATGGGACCTAAACGTGGGGTAGTGTGATAGTTTGTTGATGAAGTTGTAGGACTTGTGTGAAGGACTTATTGTTGAGTGCCGGAGTTGAGCATGGCGTGACCCCTCCACTGGTATCAATCAATATACTGACAGGCATGGTGGCTCATCCAGCATGACTCCAAGGCCACGCTGCTGCTCCACTATGTCATGAGCTCCAAAGATGCTTAAAGCTATTGACTCTAACGCAGCTTGACACCCTCCCTGTCCCGCACCAACACAACCATCCTTCTATCAGAACCAGTGCCCCACTTAGGTAAGACACAACCAAAGCCATTGAACTGCATAGTGTAAAGTCAGTAATTAAAGCTATAAATAATTGTATATAAATGTAAATGGGCGAAGCCACTGTGACTTCAGCCACTTATTTGTGAATGTCCATTTTCAATAATTGAAATTTGCATTAGAGCCTTTTCATCATGTCTTCCTTGTCACCAGAGGTGACCATATTTGGATGAGAGAGCAGTGCTAAGTGAACAGCTAATGCTAGCTATCTTATTTAGATAGGTGCATTCACAGCTGCTAATTAGTGCTAAAATCAAAGTATTTGCATTAAAAATCTGCCAAAAGTCACCAAACCAGCCTTTATAGTTTTCAAGTCCAGGAGTTATAAAACCTGCTTTTATAAAAGGAGAACATGGCTTAAAAAAGTCTGTAAATATGTCTATGTAACTATAGACTGTATCTATATGTCATGGATACTCACATTTCTATGATGCTTTATCAGCCTTACTG